AACTTTCTCATTTTTAAATTTTAATTTCCCGGGAAAAATCTGAACCAATCAGAGAAAAGGATTTAAAGAATTATTACGTAAGTATAGGTATTCGGTAATCAGCTGTTTTTTAATTTTAAATTATTTACGTGACAGAAAACAAAACATATTTCCAGTTACAATCGTATTTTGGGTTTACGTGCAAACATTAATTAATCTAAAACGTGAAATTTTATTAAATCAAGGTTTTTACTTAATAAATCGTAATTAGTTGAATGCCGCTTAGCGCTGAATGATGGTCGACAAATAGGGATTGCGGGATTTCAAGATTTCAAACCCTGTGTTTAAATTTTAACTCGTCGATTTCGGCAAGTTAAATATTTAACCACAAGGTTAAATATTTAACCTCACGGTTAAAGTTCAGGCTTAAATTAAGTCAGAAGTGGCATTTAACCATGAACTTAAAATTTAAGTCAAAACTTTTCGTTCTTAAGTTTTAGACTCAGGATATTGTGATTTAGAATAAGCATTAAGGAAATATCTTGAAATGGGTACTTTTTTCCCAATAATAACGAAAAAACGACAATGCAAATATAAATTACCTCAGCTGGAAGTACCAGGCCCACAAAAACACTAGAATGAGAAAAAGGTTGATTGGTGTCCAAAGAACTCCGAGATTCAACAAGGAAGACGACCCACTGAAATATAGATGATTATAAGATTGGTTGGAGTCGGTAGAACTACAAGATTTTACAAGGAAGACGACCCAATGAAATAAAGAATAATTATAAAATTGGTACTGTATTGTACTGTACTGCATTGTCCTGTCCTGTCCTGCCCTGCCCTGTCCTGTCCTGTCCTGTCCTGTCCTGTCCTGTCCTGTCCTGTCCTGTCCTGTCCTGTCCTGTCCTGTCCTGTCCTGTCCTGTCCTGTCCTGTCCTGTCCTGTCCTGTCCTGTCCTGTCCTGTCCTGTCCTGTCCTGTCCTGTCCTGTCCTGTCCTGTCCTGTCCTGTCCTGTCCTGTCCTGTCCTGTCCTGTCCTGTCCTGTCCTGTCCTGTCCTGTCCTGGCATAGTGTAAGAAGAGCAATTGTTTTCAAGTTGTTTATTCTAAACATTTGCATTCCTTATACTATGCCATATTTGAACATTGACAAACAATATGCAAAACGATACAAAAACGATAGTTTTAAAATTGAAGTTTATCCATATTTTTTAGGATGAAAATATTTCAAGGTTTAATTAAAATCTTAAACGTTTTAATAAAATTGCGGTTAAAAAAAACAGATTAACATTTTCTTATTTCTTAAAATAAAATAAATGTACACAAAAAATGACAAATTGGATATTTACAAAATATTAACGTTATACAACACTAATTGTACTACTGTACCTGTTAGCAAATTGTGGTGCTTCGCAGAGCACTCCAGTTCCCGCGCAGAAATAGTGGGCAAATCCAACAGTATAATGCAGCACGTTCATTAAAGAATTGGACTAAAATAATCCAACAGTATAGTGCAGTACGTTCATTAAAGAATTGGACTAAAATAATTCAACAGTATAGTGCAGCACGTTCATTAAAGAATTGGACTAAAATAATTCAACAGTATAGTGCAGCACGTTCATTAAAGAATTGGACTAAAATAATTCAACAGTATAGTGCAGCACGTTCATTAAAGAATTGGACTAAAATAATCCAACAGTATAATGCAGCACGTTCATTAAAGAATTGGACTAAAATAATTCAACCAGTATAATGCAGCACGTTCATTAAAGAATTGGACTAAAATAATCCAACAGTATAATGCAGCACGTTCATTAAAGAATTGGACTAAAATAATCCAACAGTATAGTGCAGCACGTTCATTAAAGAATTGGACTAAAATAAATATTCTAATATTTGACAAAAGATGTTTTTTAATAATTTAAATGATAAATTCGCAATAAAAAATTCTTAAACCCAAAAAAATATCTTAACTGATTCAAAACTGAAGTTTTATCGACCACAGATAAAAATGTGCAATGTACCCACTGTTCCCACAGTACTTTGGAATTCAAAACTAAAAAAAATTTACCTTACTATTCACAAAAACGCATTCATAAAGCCGTCTGAAGCATTGTAAGCATAACAGAGTCAACACTAATAGTACACTCTCCTTATCCGTTCTAGAATATATGGGCTCTTTAAAGGGAGTGTTCGCGAAAAATATAGACTGATATAGAATATAATTCGATTTTGATCGCTACCAATTGTACTTCTATCTGTTGCGTCTATGAGTAGAAAATGTTAAAACGTCAAACACCAAAAATCTATTTCGAAATCTATTCGACGTCAACCTAAATCCCCTTTAATTTTTTGCGAACACTCCCTTTAAGAAAAATTTATATTTAACGGGACTGTCGACGTATTTCAAGTAAACCTTCATTGAAGGTGTGGCTTACCCGATTCATGATGGTACCTTTTAAACAAACACGAGAAAAATATCGAGGAAAATTGAAGAGTGGTGTCAGTTTATTTGCTCGTCTCTGCTGCATAAAACCGCAAGTTACTATTAGAGAGAACCCGCAATTGAAAACTTAGCAACTATCAGATTGGAAAACAGAGATTTGGTCAAAGGTTTAAAGGTTACCCTCGTAAATCTTTAAATGTGTATTTACTTGAAATTATGTGGACAGTTTCTTTCAAAGGGTTTAAAATACAGTTTAACTGTAAAATATAAACATGTAAAAATACAGTTTAACTGTAAAATATAAACATGTAAAAATACAGTTTAACTGTGAAATATAAACATGTAAAAATACAGTTTAACTGTGAAATATAAACATATAAAAATACAGTTTAACTGTAAAATATAAACATGTAAAAATATAGTTTAACTGTAAAATATAAACATGTAAAAATACAGTTTAACTGTAAAATATAAACATATAAAAAAATGGTTTACAAAGAATATTGTACAAGGAAACATTTGTGATAATACAGTGTTTCCTGTTGTGTATTTAAAACACTACACTCTGTACACATTGTACAGTGTACACTGAACAGTGTACACTGTACACTGTACATGTTTTCCTACCTGGATTCTCTAGACTCGGTACATAAAAAATCCAGAGCTTGTCGTACAGGTTCATGTACTGGTTCATTCAGCATATATGTACGTATAGCTAAAAAAATTAACTAAAAAAGGCAAAAACTAGATATTGTTTGATTCGAAAAGCACTGGTCGTTCATTTTTCATTAAAAAAATACATCTTGTGAAAAATAAAATTCTTTAAAAAATTCTTTTTTTAACGCAAACGATCGTTTAAAAGCTGTTTGAAATAGTTCGGTTAGAAAATCAAACAACAATTTTTGTGTGTTTTTTTGTTGGCTCAACTTTACAAATAAAAGTCTACCTTTGAGGTAACTATAATAATTAGAATGTTGATTCAGAAATAAAATGTATGTACGCAATAAATTGCTTTTTTTCATTGTTAAAATTAGAATGATGGGGTATGTGTGCCTAATTTCAAGTGACCCTCCATGGAAAGCTTTTTTCTGATTAAGTATGTATCAATGTTCAAAATATTAAAAACTCATAATTTTCAATTATTGTGGTTTCACAACAAAAGTGACTGGCGCGTTTCTCTTGCAGAAATCCGAAGAATTAAATAAACACTGTTTAAGGGACTGTAAAGGAAAATTAAAGGGGGGTATAGGATGAAACCTGAGAATCTCAGGCGTTGAACGATACATATAAGACATCTATCTGATGTTCCTGTCTCGAGAAATTAATATAAAACTGTGTCTAATTTATACGAAAATTCATATATGCAATTTTGCATAAAAGTTGTAGTTTAAAACAGATAATATTCAACAAATACGAAACCTCAGGTTTGCTCCTGTTATAAATATTTAATTATAAATAATATTTTAAATTATATCTATTAAAAATACAAAATCAAAAAAATAAAAATGGGAGCAAACCTGAGATTTTCGGGATTCGGTGGAATATAATTGTTTTCAAATTGTTTGCGTATTTGCTGAATATGATCTGTTTAAACCTACTACTTTTATACAAAATTTTATATATATATAGATTTTCGTGTATAATTTTGACACAGTTTTATATCAATTAATCAGGTGAGATAGATGTATTATACGTATAGTTCAACGCCTGCGATTCTCAGGTTTTATCCTTTACACACTTTCATTTATTCTTTACAGTCCCTTTAAGTCTTTAAAAAAAAGACAATATCGTACACATTATTAGATAAAAGGTTTCAAGGGTACCGCTGTTAAGAGAATGAGAATAACTAACCAAGGAAGAGAAGAAAAGGAGTATAAATAGAAGAGAAGATGTAGAAATGAGTGAACCAGGATTTAGGAACTTGGATCAAACTAGACAAAACCAGTTCTTCAAATCATGTTGTACAGCAGTTCATGGTTCAATAGCCGTTCATAGTTAATACCAGAAGAGAGAAAGTGACGTTAGAACTTGTAAAATTTAGAAGGACAAAAATAATATTTAGTATAGACAAATAAGTTTATTTTAGTTTTTAAAAAGCTGGTGTTTAGACAAATTTTGATTAAACGGCTTGTATTTGAAGGACTAGTATCTGAACAGCTTATGTTTGAACAGCTGGTGTTTGAAGAGATATTATTTGAACAGCTACTTTTTGTAGAGATATTGTAGTGTTTCAAGAAATATTGTTTGAACAATCAGTGTTTCAAGAAATATTGTTTGAACAGCTAGTGTTTCAAGAAATATTTTTTGAACAACTAGTTTTTCAAGAAATATTGTTTGAACAGCTAGTGTTTCAAGAAATATTTTTTGTGTAGAGATATGATTTAAACAGCTGGTGTTTGAAAAAATATTGTTTTAACAACTAGTGATTGAAGAAATAATTGTTAGACAGCTCATGTTTGTAAAGCTATTGTTTTACCAGCTAGTGTTTGAAAAAATATTATTTTAACAACTAGTGTTTGCAGAGAATGATATATACTTTGGAGAAAAAAACTCAGCGGGAGCGGTTGAACCAGCGGTTGAGATCTAGCCTAGACTCTACGCAGTTCAGAATAAGAAATGCGCCTTTTTTTCTCAAATTTAAAATTTGTTCAATCAATAAATTCGTGCTTTTTTCATTCACATTTTTATTCACTTTTTAAAACTTTT